AAAGTCCATATGTGGCAAGACGGGGCGAGGTTACGCTAATAAACCCCCATATATAAAATTGAAAGGCGTGGTTATGCTAATAAAGCCCATATATGGAGCTGTGAGGCGGGGGTTATGCTAATAAACCCATGCAGGGCATTGGGGGCGGGGTTATGCTAAGAAACCATATATGGCATTGCAGGGCTGGGTTACGCTTATAAATCCATATATGGCATTGCAGGGCTGGGTTATTACCATAGCTGGTGCTGTGGGGAGGGGCTATGCTAATAGACTCCATATATGGCAGTGCAGTCCATTGAGCACTTCTGACTTCAGGCAGAGCTGCTGTATGTGAGGGACACCAGATATTGCTGGGTTTGCTGCTGTCGTTTTGTTGATTCCAGGTGGGAAAGGCCAGGTCACAGGTGTCAGAGGCAGAGCTGCCTCTGCCTTAGTTCTTGTATGGACTCCCACATTATGCTCTTCCCTCACAGTCAGAAGTTAACAGTTTTTAGCTCATTGAGCTGTACTTTAGAACTGAAACTAGATTAAAGTGAAAAATACCACTTTCATTAGGGGTCCTCATCTAGCCTCACTACATCTGGAAAGCTGTTTCTCAAAATTACTGGCTTATAAAGCAGGAAAAAAAGGCAAGGGTGGCTCTATTTCATCCTTAATGACTATGTACTTCAGACCCTTTATTGAATCAGCAAGTTTTGCTTTGGGAAGATTATAATACACATAAAAACCTCATGTATTTTGATGCTTCTTAGACTCTTCATCATGGTGAGACATAAACCCCTCACAAAACCCTAGTGCACAGTGTAAGTATATGCATGACTACTAGGGCACATCTAGACTTTGTACGTCGACCTAAGCCATGGGATGAAATGGCAAGTGTCAACCCAGGACAAGGGCTCACAACTGCACTGCACCGTTGGTGGTTTACCAAGGCCTCTTCTGGTCATTCCTGAGGTCCAAAATCACAAGGCAAACCACAAAGACAGATAACAGGGAAGTCAAGAGCTGTTATTGCTGAACAGGAAATGAGACTAGAAGAGGAGTAATGGAGGAATCCTGACATACATTCAAGGGTCAGGAATTCCTAGTTTTGTAACTGTTGTATCACTTGCCATTCTGTAAACTGAAAAAAGTCCAGAATGTGCCTCTGAATCATCAGGTGGGTGCTTCAGCTGCCTCAAACAACCCAGAGCCAGTGCCAGAACGCAGACAGTAGTCCAAGCATTGTGACAGGCTTTTACAACACTGTCACCCACGCACTAGGAACTAGAAACTCTTTTTCCTCCCTTAGAGTTATTTTTTACCATAAGAAATTCTATCATCATTCTCAGTACAATTACTGAAAACAAGTGATAACAGTCTGTTGCAAAGCAGTTTATTAGGTTTCTGAGACTGTGCATTGCCCTTTCCCAATACACAGAAAATAACCCACAAGATGGTAGAGTGAAAATACATCTACAAAGTATTCAGTACTTCTGACATCTGTTTCAGGGGCAGAATTACCACTGAGCGCCAGGAAGCAGCACTGAGTCCTGCATTACTGACCACATTGCCTTTAGGGCAGAACCATTCACACATGCTTTGTGACCACGGAATTGGAACAGTTTCCACACGGTTTCCATGACATGAGGGCCCTTATTTCCACGTTGTGCTAACTCAGATAAAGTTTCACAGATGTGCAGATGTTTGATACTAATTTAACAGTAACACTGTAGCTACGTAATTTCCTCATCTCAAACCCCAACCTGACTTTGAGATTCTTCATTCTGTGACGTTTTTAATTAAAAAAGAACAATAAAAGAACACTTGTGATATACTTAGTATACAAATAATTAAGAAGGAAGCTTCTGAGAAAAGGAATTAAGGACATGAGTGAAAAACAAACTGTCCAACGAGACTGTAAACCATACTTATTTACAACAGTGTACATAGAAATTCAAGACCAAACCTTTTCTTAAAAAAATCATTAAGGACACTAGTGTTCAAAAGGTGATTGTTTCTGAAAGGACTGTAAACCAAATTCTAGTCATGTAAGGTGCAGGGTGAATACAAAAGTTCCCTTTTATATAGGTTTCCTAAGCACAAATGCTGCCACAGCTGGAGCAGCTTTATACCAGAAAAAGTATCACCTTTTGTTTAGGCTCTTTTTAAACATCTTAATCCCATTAGACCAAACTGAATGCTCTTCCTAAACCTAGAAACAAGTCAATGCATTTTCATCTTGCCAGTGTAAGCTACACTGTAATTACATCCCAATAATTGTAACAGTTGCTGTAATATCACTTATCTTGTTCAACAGTTTGTTTCTGATGTGATCTGGGGTGACTGACCCATCAGTAGCACACACTGCACAGTGCCAGCAAAAACATCTTCATTTATACTTCAACTCCTTCAGACACTAGGTCACAGAGCATTGCTGGCTGTGGCATGTGAGGGAAGCCACAGATTACACTCTGTGCTTACATTTTGCTTTAGGCAATTACCTGCCACTTAGCACCATTTTTGGTATGAAGCTTGACCTTCAGACAGAACTGGAATAAAGCAGCTGCAATATGAGAACAGGAGATGGAGGAGTGATTTCCCCCACCTGGCACATGCTAACTCACAGCAGTAATACCAAGGATGCCTCCCCACAGCCATGGCATTACAGAGCAGGCTTTAGCTCAAAAATCTCTTAACAGATGATATACTCAGCAGACTTACTCTGCATTTCAGGACCTAATTTAGTTTGTCTTCAGACATATTTTAAGGAAGTCCCACACTCTTAACATTTGTCCTAAGCTTTCCCATCCCTGAAATATCAAGCTGGTCTTTCAAGATGTTTGAGAAGGGCTCATCATTACTAAAGTCTTCTGAAACGCCATCTCTGGAAACCGCTATGCTCTTGCCACTTTCCCACTATTTATTTAGGTGTTTTTCCTTACCCTGGAGGACACAGAGCAAACACAGCATCTTTAGTAACATGTCTTCACTGAGGTTTTAGTAGGGTCAGAGAAGTTATGGACCGCTGGAGTTCCAAATTTACCCCAAATCCCGTGCTACAGTACTTTCCATAAGAAGGAATGCATAGTTCAGTATTACATGCTAGTCAGGAAAAAATCAGTGAAGTTTTACATATCAAATAACCGTCCAGAGGCAGGGACAAGTTTGTCAATTCTCCTACCGCTGCCATGAAGAAAAAGACAAAGTTCACAGTGGAATGACAGACAAAAAGCAGCAGTTTGCACCTACACTGACAGCTCAAACCTTGACAGTCCTGTTTTGTTTTTGCAATAAAAAGATACCTGCTTAGCAATTTACTAGCAATCACAAATATTCCTTCAAAAACTCTCCCCCCTCGCTGATCCAAAACCCAAGGTCCCTGGCTGTCACAAAACGCTCTTTCTCCTACCTTATTCCAATGCAAGTAGCAACAAAAATGTTAGTAAACTGGCTTACTATTTATAACCTTACCAGAGGGATGAAAACAACCTCAGGCAGCAAGAGCTCAAGTTGAACTGCTTTGTCAAAGCTTCATGTAAAAGTTTATGTTCCTGTGTATTTACAGTCAAACTTCAGCAACTCAGAAAGTACAATGACAAAGTGCAAGAACATGAGATGGGCACACATACACCAGAAAGAACAGAAACAAGGACATTAAAGTGCCGAAGAGATTTCCTACAACTGCTACCAAAACCTGGGACTTTGCCAAGATCATAATTTTGAAGCATTTGCAACCAGGACAGGGTGACAGCCAGTGAGAGAGTGATCTAACACCAGCAGGACGTGGCAGGTTTTGGTTCAGGCTTTGTAAGCATCTCATCGCAATCTGGAGGTTGACTAAGCATTAGTGGCTTGTGACTTTTCAGCTTGTGAGCCAGTGTCATAAATATTGCCTCCACGTGGTCGTTGTCATTGGGGTTCTTGGCAGAGGTTTCAAATAAGGGCATACTGTGAGTGTCAGCAAACTTCTGCGCCAGGTCCGTGGGCACCTGAACAGCACTTCTCAGGTCGCATTTGTTTCCAACCAGAATCCGTGGAATGTCGCTGGCAAGGTGGTGCTGCTTGCACTCCTCTATCCACAAGGGCAGGCTGTGAAAGCTGGCAATGTTTGTCACGTCGTACACGAACACCACAGCATGCACATTCCTGTAGTAGTGCTGCACCATGCTCTTCCTGAAGCGCTCCTGGCCTGCTGTGTCCCACAGCTGGATCTGAGAAGGGAAGCACAGGGGGAGAAAATGTGTTTTATTACTCATGCTGGAAAATAATACAAGCTACCTGTAGTGAGGGGAGTCAATGACACGGAAATCCGCACTTCCGAATTAATCCTACTGAAAAGCTTGTGCTGAAGAAAACTGCAGCATTTACACAACTTTCAGCTTTCAGCGCTGCTCACACCTGAGGCCAGGAAGAGTGATGACACAGCTTGATAAAAAATACACATCTCTAGAAGTCTGTTGGAGCCTGTGTTTTGTAAGGTCTCTATAAAAACAAAGCCTGGAGTCTTGGCAATAGCACTTTCACTTGAAAATAACATGAAATACGTATTATTTCACAGGGCAACTCTCAGCTGACATGATTCTTATTACTGCCAATAATAATAATGTTATCTTCCCCCAAATTTGTTCTTACTGTGATGTTAACTGCCTATGTGGTAACTGTGTAAAAGCAGGAAGAAATCAAACCACGTTTGGTAAGAACACCATCACCAAACACAGGACAAAGAAATCTTTCCCTGCAGTTTGGAATCAAACCCCCTGTGATGAACATTATTTAATGCTTAAACTGGGGCTAGAGTGTGGTTTGTAGTATCAAAGTACGTAGCAAAGGACCAAAAGTGTGTAAACCTCCTGTCAGCTGAACATGTGACTGTTGGTTCCAGACAAACATCATTCTGGCCAAAACAGACTGAGTAAGTGTTTGAAGCCTAGTCCAAGCAAAAAAACCATTTGGGAGAACTGAAATGCTTTCAGACTCCTGGGGTCCAGAGTAGAACCAAACAAGCCTGAGGCACAAGCAGATGTAAACACAACCACTAGAGATTTTAACCACATGGCTCACCATGGTGTGGTGGAAGCCTGGAGCCCTCAGACAGTAATTTGCTCCACTTGTGCAAGTGATACCGAGCCAAACTGACTGCCACGTGCAGCAGTCAGAGCCCCCTCACCCCCTGTACTCTGCCAGAAACCAACAGTGTGTGGCTCTGTCACACACACCTCAGTGACGGCAACACGAAGACAGCACCTGATTTCCTGGGAAAAGCTGAGTCCTGGCCTCTGTCCTGCACAGCTGATCCCTGACGGCTCAGCCACTTCAGCCTTTGAGCAGAAAGTGCTTCCTCTCAGGGAATCTGAGGGTTTTTTGAGACTCAGAACTCAAGGAATATGAAATGTTCTGTAAATTCAGAATTCAAACTGTTCTCGTGGAAGGTACAGCCTCTGTGTAAGTGGAGAAACTGTTCTCCCACTACCATAGTTCTGCATTCCTTTGATCCAAATGTTTCAGTAAAACTGATTCAGAAAGTGCAAGAGCCTTGTAAGTTGCCTTGTTTATCACTTTTACCAGTGACTTTTTATGTTACAAAAAAGGAAGGCTACATGCCAGGGAAATCTGCTGACAGCAAGAAGTTAAGATGCATCACTGATAGAGAGAAGGGTTACAGCATCACAAAAAATTGTTCTGAAAGCCGCAACAGTAGAAACAGGGTGAAACTGAATAGAAGCAGGTGCAAAGTCTTGACAACAGTGACTAGCAATAAAGACTCTTCCTTTGAGCACAGGGTTCAGCAAACAGATGATGACCCAGATACACGAGTCAGTCACAGGACTGAACAAGTCACTTGTGTGACACAAGAAGAGGAAGAGATGCTCCAAACGGTGTGACTTTATCTGCAGTGTTACATTTAACGCTGGTCACCCATCCCCTAGGAAGACTCAGACCAGAGCAGGTGGAAATGCTTTCCTCAGGGGAACCGAGAATTCACACGAGAACATTAGAACAGCTTTGCTTCTGGAGTCTAGTCCAGCTCTCTACAGCATCTGATCCACAGGCTTAGAGAGACCTGTGTGCAGCTTCTAGGAGGGTCATGAAGATCATTCTACGCTGCCTCTGATCACAGGAAACAGCAGCCAGATGCAGTTCATCACGTTTCAGAGCAAACCCCATTTTCTGCCTGGGACATTACACTCTGCACACAGCTGACTCTGCCTCCAAGGCCAGACAACCAGACCAACCACAGCACACCTGGGTACGACTCAGTCACAGACCCAGCTGAGAGATGCTTCCAGTTCTACACACTCACAAAACAGTATGAAGTCAGGAGACTCAGAAAATGTTCACAAATTCGACAAAGAGAAAAGAAAGAAGCACAGACCAAAGCAGTCCTATGTTCAGACAGCAGAATATTAGGGAATCACTACAGACAAATCTTGGGAAATGCTGCGTCAGTTTAAAGTGGGAGCTCATTTTCACAGGCAGCTGTGAGCTTACAGTGCTCTCCCCACCTCACCCAGAGCAGAAAGCAGCCACGCTTCAGCCAAGCACAGATGTGCAAGCCCAACCTTGGCTAAAGAAGGGGAAATTAAATTAAGGGTTTACATATCTTTCAAGTTAAGCTGAACTTACAGTTCCTCCTAGATTTTATTTACACGCAGCTTTCAAGCTTGAAGGGTATTATCTCGGATTAAAAGTGTTAATATGCTTGGCATGGAGTAATTTGCACTGAGAGGCAAATCCTTACCCAGCACTGAAATAGTCACACTTCACAAGTTTCTTTTTTCCTCTTATCAGCTGAACTTGAGGTGACCATTCCATTTCTGCCCCTCCCTCCAAACCTTTTCTACTGAAAAAACAACACTGGAAACATTCACATTAATACATGTGCACTGATGAAATAACATTCAGATTACTGTTTCATTATTAGCACCACACATGTTCAAAAGAAGTTTCTGGAACAGCCCTTTAACGTGTGCTTTTAAGATTTAACAGTGTCATTCAGCTAATAGGACTGTGTACAGAATCACTTCGCCACACTCCCTAAGAAGGACAAATGGTGTGATATATGCTAAATACATTGACTCAGCTATCACCTCCCACCTTCTGATTTCTTTTTGTGGACCCAGAAAAGCTGTTTTCTAAACAAGGACTCACTTTGTATGCACAGATTTTAACACACTAGTGAAAACATAACTGGCCTTCAATAAAGATAAAATGGTAAACTATGCCTCCTTTTAAAAGATGTGGGGGAAAAAAAACTTGGAATAGCTCAAAGGTACAGAACATAATGTTCAGACTTTCTTCTTTGAACATCATTTGCACCCTTTGCTCTTTCAATGTAGGTCAGTGATGAGTGACATCATTGTTTTCTTCAATTTCCAATGCTTACATCGATCGCGAGAGAAGAAAATTTAGAATGCAGAAAATTCATTTGCTGAAAGTTTTCATTTACTCACCCCATTTAGGCCTGTTTTTCACACAAAGCTGTTAGCCTACTGCACAAGCTACAGAGGAATACACAATTCCTGTCTTGGAGTTCTACACAACTGCTGTGTGGGAGACTCCTGACGAGAAGAACTGTGCTCTGTGTTCCTGCCAATGACATGGCATTTTTCCAGCTGTGAGGGAAATACTCACTGCTGTAGTAGCACAAGAAAGACCATCCAGCTGGCTGGGGGAAGGGAGAAGAGAGAAAACACTACTTTATAACCTCCTTCAATGCAAGAGGAAAAACTCCCTTCAGGGCACAGCAAGGACTGCAGTAACTCTATCCATAGGAGCTCCTCTCTCCTGGTTCAACAGGCATTGCTGGAGCCCACTGTGAGAAAGGTGGAGTGAGAGGTGCCAAACCCCAAAAAATTGGTTCAAACTTGTCAACACTCAGAATCCCCCTAAGAGCTGAAGTCCTAGCCATAATGATAAAGTTTATTCCCTTAAGGCTTAAACAGAACTTCCTCAAAACAACATGTCTCAGAAGAGCCTCCCTCCTCAGCCTCCCCCAAACAGGACTGCTATATTCAACAGGCAGTGTTATCAAGAATGCGGCAGAACAACCTAACACAACATCTATAACCTGTGTGAGGAATCTCAGAGCTGTGGATTAGAATATGTTCTTCACTCCTCTCCAGGCATAATTCAGATGTGATGAAAATGACAGTCCATAAAACAGTGCTGACAAGATAATCACCCTCAGGAGGTTCTGTCATGGACAGCAACAGACAAGGGAGTACAGAATTTCAGCTATCAGTCAAAGAAGTTCTAGTCAGCAGTTTAATAAAGAAAAACAGTAACAAAGACTCCTATTTATTCCTCATTCCCAGTTAAAAAAGGGTATGAGGTAAAATACCCACAAGAGTTGGCTTTCCTATTCTTGTATGACCTCCATAATTTCTTTAACCAGTAGGTTAAGCAAGAAAAACTACAGCTTTCAGCTTCATGATTGAGGGTAGGAAAGCTCTACAGA